TGCATTGGATGAATGTGCTTTTAAGTGAAATGGTTTGAGATCAGGCAGCCTATTCCTGCCCCCCTGCCCCGCTCTCCCCTGACCCCTTGTCTCTTGCCATGGGGGCTCGGGGAGACGGCCCAGTTAAAACAAGCAGGGGCAATCTGTGGGACGCTTGGGCCATTGTTAGGATTGAATCTGGGGCCAGAGCCCTCAGAGCTCCATCTGGGGCTGAGGTAAGGACTTAGGTGGGGGCAGGACCCAGTCTAGGGCACTCAACCTCAGCTCTTGGGGGTGCGGGCATCAGAGCAAGGCCCTTCCCAGTGTTTCGGGAAGCTTCCCAGCCCAGGCGACAGATTCCACAGGCCGGCCTCGAACTCACACCTGTTTGCCCAGGCCTGGGGCCAGCAGGCCTGAGTGGCTGCAGCCTGGGAGCAAGAAAGCATGGGATCTGAGGAAGGCTCACGGGCTGGGTCAACCTTACCTGCTTCAGTGAGGTCCCCCGTGGTAGTCATTACCGGCCCCTTCTGCTCCTTGGGAATCATCCTGAGGAGGAGAGACCGCCACAAATGGTCCAGGCTGCCTCTGTTCCTCCCCAGACCTCCCAATCCTTGGTCTACCCAACCCCGGCCCTGCGCAGCCTTGGCCCGCACCAAAGTCTCAAGCAAGGGTGTCTGAGCTGGAAAGAGGAGGCTGAGGTCCATGGAAGAAAAGGGAGATGCTCAGGGTCACACAAATCTGCTTCCTTGATGCTAGGGAAGCACACACGCATTGGGGGTAGTTTCTGGGACATTAGGAGAAGGGGAGGCGAGGGTCTCTGACTGTTGTTGTCCACTGACTCAAGTGAGCGCTAATCAGAGGCTGAAAGAGGTTGGAGGTTGAAGTCAGGGGGTGGTTAGTCAGGGAGCACGGGTGGTTAGGCTGACGCTGCACTGGGGTCTGTGAGGTGCGCCCCTCCTCTCCTCAGGACTCGGCTCTGAGGCTTGAGGGCTCAGGCTGGTCCAAGGACACTGAAAACAGCCATCAGCCCCCTTCCTACCCCTGTCCTTCAGCTCACTTACATGGTGTCCTTTTCTCCCTCGCTCCTCTCCCTCTTCCTCCATCCCCCCATTTGCATCTTATGGCGTGTCCCAGGAATCTTGGAGGTGATTTACAAATAAAATGAGGTCCAAAGCCCCAGAGAAGCCCTGCAGGCCCCAAGTCCAGATCCCCTAACTCGCCCCCAGGAGAGAAGGCAAAGTCCTTGCGCCTCCTGACGGCCTTAACAACCCTTGTGCCCCTCTGCTTGGCTTCCAGGTTTTTCTATATTTCTTCTTTTAGAGAAACAATCTGCCTCCATCTGTGCCCCCCACTCCCATACCCAGCCCCGGGTCCGTGGGCGCTGAGCTGGGCGGCCTGGCTTCTGATCGGTGTCCCTGACTCCCTCGGTAACTGTGAGCAAGTAGCCCTCCTGTAACCTGAGGAGACTGGGCTACATCGTGGGTATCCATGGACGTGCTTCAGGGCGTACACGGACCCCCTCAAACTGTGTGCAAACATGAGTACACATGCATGCCTTGGGGGCGATGCCCACGAGCTGGTGGCCAGTGCTCCAGCTGGGACCACTTAGGGTTCCACAGTCCCCGGATCTGTTTCTTCACAAACACTCTCCTTACAGAAATTCACAGACATTGGGAAGGACCCCGCCCCTCATTTTACAGACAAGGACCCTACCCCTCATTTTACAGACAGGGACCCTGCTTCCCTCTATTGCGGAAAGATCTTGGAGTCCTGAGCAGAGCCATTACCTACCCCAACCTTGAACCCTAGCCACCCCCTCTCCATTTAACCCAGAGTAACCCAGAGTTTAGAATCCCTCCCTTCCCAACTCAGGATCCAGGCTTCCACGAGGCCCCACCCTCCCCGGACCCCCTTGCGCCCTTCCTCTGCTTGGGGGAAGGGGCTCTGGGAATTGGCTCCCCCCCACTGCCCACCCCCGACAGCGCCTCGAGCTCCCCTTGAGTCCTGGTACCTGAGAGATGGAACCACAGTGGGCAGGAGGGAGTGTCAGACCCTCAGATTAACACCTCTGTCGGGAAGCTGAGAGTTGAGTGGTTGGTGTCTGCGCAGGCGGTCGTCAGTGAGCTGGGTATGCCGTGCCTCCGGCTCTGGCCTCAGCTGACGAGAGTTGTCCTTGCCTTGTTGTGGCTCATAGCCTTATTTCGGGCTGCAACAGGATCCAGGGACAGATACTAAAAGCACCAGGACCCAGGGAAGACAGGTGCCCCGGCAGCAGGCCCTTGCAAACAGAAGGCCTTGCACACGTACAGTACACATACATATACACACACCAAAGTCACCTGGAAACGCTGAGTGAGTCACCGGTCCCCTGAGCTTGCGAATTGTATCCTTAGGGCCTAGATCGGGGCCTGGTAGGAACTCAGTAGATATTTGTTGAATGAATGATTGAATGGGTAGATTGATGAATGAATGAATTGTCCCCCAGTAACTTTGCTTGACTTGTTCATTCCTCCTTTCCTTTCTTCCTCTGCTTCCTTCCTTCCTCCCTTCTTCCCTCCCTCCCTCCCTCCCTCCCTCCACCTTCTCACATTCTCTGAGCCTCTCTCTATGGACTGAAAATAAATAAGGCAGGGCTCTGTCCTCAAGGAGCTCAGCCAGGCCTGTGTCAGACCTGTAAACAGCCTTTGCGACGCATCACGGAAAATGATCTGGGAGGGCCAGGGAAGGGTGCCACCAGCTCGGCCTGGGGGTGGGGAAGGCCTCCCAGAGGAGGAGACATTTGCGCTGGGCTTTGAAGTCTGAGTGGGAGCTCACAGGCAGAGAGGGACACGGGCACTGCAGGCTGAGGCCATGTCACACATAGGATGTGAGGGGCCAGCGAGGAGAGCTAGAACTGGGGGCTGGGGTGGTGCTGAGAGATGAGGCCAGACAGGTGGGCAAGGGCCAGATCACAGCAGGCTTTTCAAAAGTACCGTGTATCTTATAAAAGGGCTGTTGGAGTTTAAGGCCGTGGAACGGAGCAGTCACGTGGTCATTTTCCAAAGATATCTCTGGCTGCCCTGTGGAAAGTGGGTTGGCGGGAGTTAGTCTTCAGGCAGGAGGATTTCACTGTGGTCAGGTGAGACCTGGGAGTGGCTGGACCAGGGAGGTGACAGAGGGCATGGAGAGGAGGAAAGGGGCTTGAGGGGTATTTGAGGGATCACCAGGTCCCAGTTAGAGACTGGATGTGGGAGGTGAAGAAAGGGCCGCTCCCGTTTCTGGATTGCGTCATTCAAGGAAAATAATGGTGAGGAGTAGGGGGGATGGGGGCAGCTTGGGGTTGGGGGCAGAGACTGAGTTCAGTTTGGGGTGAAATTGGTTTGGCGTGTCTGGGCACCAGGATCACCAGTAGGCAGGGGGATACTGTGCTCAGGAGAGGTTCCTGCTGAAGATAAAGATTGAGTCAGAGGTGCACTAACCACTACCAGGGAAGGGTGGGATCAGCAGGGATGCGCCGGGTCCAGGGCAGGGAGCTCCTGTACCTGTGTGCTGGATAGACTGTCCAAGGGCATCTCTCTTAAGAAGAAGCCTGGACTCTGCTGTGGACCACCTGAACTCAGCTTTCTGCCCGTCAGAGTCCTTTGCCCAGCCTCTGCAGGGCCTGAGCTTTTAGAGAGGAAGGTGAGGGATCTTGGCCTCACCTGGGAGTGGGGCCCCAATCCCCTTCTCTGGGCAAAGGACGCCCCCATCAGGAGAGGAGCACTCCTGATGGTCTGAATCCTGAGTTCTCTAGGGTTGGCTGGACTCTGATGTTACCTCTTGTAGGGGCTCCTCCTCCTGTCTGAAGCCCCGACCTGCCATCAGGAAGCAGCCCCAGAGCACTGGGCCCTGATGCAGCTTGGCCCTGGCCACTCCAGTGACAGTGTCCTGGGGTCAGGGCCTGGGCAATACCACCTTGAGACATCACCTCACCAACTCACTCATTACACAGATAGGGAAGCTGAGGCCTGGAGAAGGAGTGGGTTTACCCAGGGTCACCCAGCTAGTAGATGATGGGACCAGAACTTCAACCCAGGGACTTCTATGGCCCAGAGTGTTTTCATTGTTCCCCATCTCTGTTCATGATTGTTACTTCCCAAGCTCCCATCCCATGTGTATCATTCTCATCCACCCAGCATCCCATGGACTGTTCCATGGGTGGGGGAAAGGGAAGGGCTTTAGACATAGCTGAAAATGACACAGGAGACAGAAAGATGCAGGAAGCATTTATTGAGGGGCAGAGCTGAATTCTACAGGAGGCAAAAGGCATGACACAGGCAATTTCTAGTGGGTTAGAGGAGAGGACTGGGAGAGAAAGCAGTTACAGGGAGAGAACAGCCAGACAGAACTGCAGCTTCCCAAGGCTGCCTCCTGCTGGCTCTTTGTGGGAAATGCAGGTAGAAGTGGATTTTCTCTGCCACTGCATCAACTAGTGGCCTGATAGTGTCTTTTCTCTGAAAGAGGCCCTTAGCCCCAGCCTCCCATGCTACAGGGGTCCCTGAAGCAGGTGGGGACTTCAGTAATGTGATCACTCATCACTGACAAGTTGGAGCACCCTCTCATCTTCCTACCAACAGGGCCTATGTTCCCAATCTTTAGGCCCTGGGAATCCTTTGGGATCAGTCCTTTATTCCAAAGCACCCCACCCTCACCCTGACTCCCATCCTAACCCCAGCTTGCCCTAGCCTCAATTAGGGGTTCCTGGTCTAAATCACCCTGAGGGATGGGTAAGTCTCCTCCTAACCCCAAAATCACCCTCTGTCCCTCATCTTTAGCAACATCCTGGTATCCTTTCACTTACATACATACCTTTGATCCTCAGCCAATTCCAGCCCCCCCCGCCCCCCCACCCCCACACACTTAGTTTCCTGAAACTGATATTCTGAACCTCTAGAGGGCACCACCAGACAACTCTGGAAACTATAGGACCGAGGTACATTCCTCCCTGTGTCCCTCCTGGGGATTGGAATCAGAGTCACTATAGCCTAAGGGACAGGCTAGGGCCTGCAGCCAGGCTCCCCAAGGTCACTGGGCACCAGACACTGGCTAGGCCAGAGTGTGATGGGAAAGAGATGAGGCAGAACAGGGCCCCATCATCTGGGCACAGTATGGATGCTGGGGCCTGAAACTGAAGAGTGGAGTACTTCCTAAGGAACCAGAAACACAGGCAGACTCTGGTCTAACCCCTCACTCACCCACCCAAGCTCATCTCCCTAGCCAATCCTCCAGCACTACTCTCCCTCCCTTCCTAATACTGTGGAATGCATTTCAGGACTGGAAGAGCCCCCAGAGGTCATCTGAGCCAGTCCATTCCCTACTAGAATCTCCTCTATGCATCCTGGCCACTGCTGGCATACCACCCATAACAAAGAACTCTTTGCCTCCCTCTTTCCAAATGGGCAACCTCAAATTCAGGGCTACCAGGTAAAGCCAGAGGATACCAGATAGCTCCGTATCAACTCTTCTCTGCCCGGCTCAGCTTTGAGCCCAGAGCCTGCCATGAAAGGGCCCGGAAGGGATAGATGGGTTGGAGACACCTATAGCATCATTCCTGGAGACCCTGGGAAGCCTGAATTGGGATGGAGAAAAGACTGAGAGGGATCTGAGAGGAGGAATCTTCCCTCCTCTTCTCTCCAGAGAAGCCAGCAGGGCACCTTGAGCTGGCCTGGGAGACCCTCTCTAAAGGTCACCATGGTAAAAATAGAGCTTGTCTGGGAAGGGATGGAAAACAGCTGCTCCTGCCTGGGACTTGGTGCCAGGGAGGCAGATGGTCAAGCCAGGGCCTGGACAAGGAACCCAGGCGTACGATCCTCTGAACACACCCCTCATTTACCAGACTCCAGAGATCAGAGCCAGGAGGGGGGGGGGGGTGGAGAGTATGGAACCCTGCAATGCAGCAAGTCTAGGGGTCCATACATACAACACCCTGCCTCTTCCAAGGCACTAGTGTGTGTGTACTGATAGAAGGGGTAATTTAGAAGTTTGGAGATTGCCTTGGCCAAAGCTCTATTAAACAGATGGGAAAGCTGAGGAGCAGAAGAAGGGTCTTTCCCACAATGACTGAATGACAGAGCAAGGGCTAGAACCCAAGCTTGGATCACCACCCCACCTCCAAGCCCAGAGCTCTCCTCCCCTGACCCCTTATCTCTGGGGCTATCAAAGAGGCCAGACCCTTGGGGACATGGTGCTGGGAGCTCCCAAGCCCCACGACACTTCTTCTCGCTCGGCTCTCCCGGGGCAGGGATGGGGTGTGGGCGGGGAAGCCTTTAGGTGGTGCAGGAGGCCTCCGTGGGTAGGTTGCCACGCTTGAGCCTCAGGCTGCCGTTCCATCCGCGGGGACAGATGTTGTAGCCGAGGATGCCGGGCGACTTAGCCCCAGAGTCCTCGGAGTCGAGGGACACATCGGAGTCCGTGGGCGAGCGGCGGTAGGGGAAGGGCCTGGGTCGCGCGGGCAGCGGGCTCCGGGGACTAGCGCAGGGCGAGGGCCCGGCGGGCAGTGGGTTCCGGGGGATGGGAGCGAACGTTGTCCCGGGGTCCGCGGCCTGGCCGGGTCGGGACGGCAGGGGCGAGCGCATGCGCGGCGGCGGTGGCGGCGGTGGCAGCGCTCTCGGCGGGGAGAAGGGCCGAAGGCTCTCAGCGCCCGCCGGCCGCGGGGAGGCGCTCTTGCGCCGGGCCGCGTTGATGATGTTTCGCGCCAGGAGCGCCTGCAGCTGGCGGCTGGGGGGCCGCGCCTCGGTCTCATGTCGCAGAGGGGATACGGAGCGCTCGCTCCACGAGGGGGACATGGGCGGCGGCGGCGGCGGCAGCGGCGGGGGGCTGCTCAAGCTGCTCCCGCGGCCCGGCTCCCACGGCCCCGGGCTCACCCAGCCGTCCAGGCTGCTGGGGGGCCGGGACGCGCCCGGCGTCCAGGGCGGGGAGGTGGGCAGGCTCTCTCGGCGGTCCTGGAGAGAGAACAGAGAGGGTGGGGGCAGGCGTTAGTGCTGGGCTCCTCTATACCGGGGTTTCAGAAGGGACCAAGTTGGCTGTGTCCATTGTACAGAGTCGGGAAGCCAGTGACCAAAGTCGGGTAGTGCCTGCAGAAAAACGCAGGTGCCCCAACTTTCATCTTTCAGGTGCTTGAACGAGCCCACGCTGCCTGCCCCTGCGCTTAGCAGGGAGGCAGATGACTGGCTGTTTAAGAACTCTCGCTTTGGAGACAGACCCCTTTGTTTACTGAATGAACTTGGGCAAGTTGCTTCAGCAAAAGAAGCAACTCGAAGCCCCTGGGCTGCAGTTTCCTCCTATGTGAAATGGGAGTATAATATCAGCATGTATCCTATAGGATTGTTGTGAGGAGTAAATGAGATAACTTATAGTTATAGTGATAGTCACTATGTGATAGTCACTTATGTGATAGTCAAAGACTATCACAGTATGAGAAGGTTCCCTAGAAGAGAGTAGGTGCGCAATAGATGTTAGTTACCTTAAAGACATACTAGAATGATACACATGAAACTACCCAGAGTGCCTCTCTGTTAGGAAATGGGGTGAACAGGGCAGGGGACACAGCCACAGGAGTGGGAATAAGGCTTCTAATGTATTATATACTTTTTATATAAGTTTAAGGTTTTGAACCATATGGATATAATATCTATTCAAAAAATTACAAGCAAAATTATTGATCATTATTACTAAAGTTGGACTTAGGGAAAGGCCCTCTCTGTCTCAATCCCCCTGCCATGTTGCCATGGTCACCTCCTAATTGTTCCTTGGACACCTTGAACAGGGAGGAGGTTCCCACTGACAGATGGAAACATAAAAGGAAGTTGGGTCGTTCCTCCCTAGGCAGCACACTCCCCTCACTGGACTTCTTGCCAACATGGGGTGGGGAGTGTGGGTTCCGTGAGGCCAAGTTGGTGAACCTCTGTGAAGTTATACACTGCTCTGCTATACACTATCATACCTGCTTCCTACCTCCTTAGGAACTTTCCAGTCTACAAAGTTCGGTCTCATCCTTACTCTCTCATCATATCCTCACAACAGCCTGGTGAAGTAGCTGGTATTATCACACCCATTTTATAGTGATGAAAATGAAGTTCAGACGTGTAAATAACTACCCGGTGTGTTCTGCCCCACCAGGAAATGTGTGTGACTATCTGTTGCTTAAAGGTGGGAGGCAGGCTTAAGCAGTTTGAACTGGTTTGAAAGTACAGGGCTTGGGGATCCAGGCCCAGCATGTATCTGCTAAACCATCCACCTGTTCAGCCAATCAGATTCCAGCAACAAGCCAGTCCACTCAGTAGTCTTCAATCCAAATTCACCAGCAGTCATCCCTCAGAGTCCAGAACTAGCCAGTCCATTCAGTGCCTCCTACCCAATCAAAATCTAGAACCTCTCATAAGATCCATTCTCTCATCCAATCAGTAACCAGCCACAGCCAAGCCAGTCAGCTTCTCATCCAATCAGAATCTAATTTCTCCCAATCAAAAGGAAGCAATAAAGTACATGTATTCTCCAAACAATGCAGCAGCTACCAGATGATCCCAGACTCAGAAATGGAGCCCTTTAACCTATAGAGGAACGTATAGCAGTCTGAACAGATTTTTCATGGGATTGGGAATGTTAGGAACCTCCCGGGGACATCCAAGGCCCCAATCATCAAGCAGGAAAGTTAAAGCTCAGCATGGGCTCCACCCCTTTTACTCCCAGGGTCAGTTGTGTATATGTGAGCCAGAGACACTGGGAGCTGCTGTCTGTGCGCCATCTCAGGAATCTTTCAGTGAGCCTGGCTGGGGGGAGCAGGGCCAAGGGGTCATGCTCCAAGTCCATCAACAAGCACTGAGGCAGAGCAACAAGGGCTTTCAGCCAGGCGCAAAGCAGGCTGGGGCAAGAGAAGCTATGATAACTGTCTGAAATCTCCAAGGATGGTCGGCCTTTAGTGGCCACAAGGGGAAGGCTAGGGCCAGCAAGTGGAAGGAGTAACAGAATTTACTTCTCAGAATGCCTGGGTTGGAATGTTGGGGGCAGTGGTAAGCAGCTCCTCACCCTTTGGAGGTGGGCCAGGGCCTGACCTCATCGAAACTGCCATGTCTGGGTACTGACTGTGTGTGTGGGGGGGGGGGGGGGGGGAGCAGTGAATAATACAAAAAGGCTGCAGGGAATCAGAATTATTCGCTTTCTGAAAAAGTTCTCAATGTACCATATACACCAGAACTCCTTGGAAATGCACATGGGTGAAAATTCAGAGAGGAGCACCCACTTAACCCAGCACCAGACCCAAAGCAGGACACATGTGTGGGCTGAAGGTGCGAGTAGAGCAGAGTCAGATAGGAACTATCAGAGATCAAAGAGAGCTAGCTCCCAGACAGCTTCTGTAATCCTCTTGTTGCATGGAAGGGGAGACTGAGGCCCACGGGTTGTCTAAGGTCACACAAGGAGTCAGATGCAGATCTGGGCCCAGCACCCATTTTTCTGGCTCTTGATGGCCGTACGCTCCTCTCCACGAGGGCAGAAACTCATTTTATGCAAGAGCCCGGCAGTGATGACTGTGGAAAGTGGCCGGATTTAGATAATGGGGGCGACGGGGAGGTGGGGGGGGGCGGCTGCTGAGGGAACCAGAAAGTATATATGCTCTGGCTAAAGGCACTTAAATACCACTTTTAAAGAATTCGAACAAACCTGGACCATAAGGGGCATGGGTTTTCCCCCGTGCCCTACAGGCTTTTTGGCCAAACTCTTAAGGAAGGAGAAAACAGAACATGATTTCCACAGGATTCTGGTTCCCTCAGTGCTGACCCAGGGAAGAGAGAGGGCAGCCCTCACTTTCAAGCCAGCACACATCTGTACCCATGGCAGATCGAGACACTCAGCAGATGCAGGCAGCACGTGGACACACACCACAGGCTCACACGCCGTAACTAAGCAGTCCCACCCCACTTCTCAGGCCAGAATTGGGGAGGAGGGAGAGGGCCCTGACCACCAGCCAGTGAGTGTAGAAGAAAGAAAGAAGCAAGACAGATTTGAGGCAGAGTGTATTGAGAACAGGAGAGAAAACAAAGTTGAGGGAAGAGCTCAGCCAGCCTGATCACAGGAGCTGCAGGATGGAGGGTGGGCTCTTCCATTGCTGGCCCTCAGGGGTAGAAGGGAGCAGGGGTCCGGAACATGGGCTTCACTCTGCCCTGGGAGGGGTTTGGCGTGAAGGAGCCGAGCTCCCTCGCGACTCTCCCATGCATGCCCCCACGTTCTGGGCAGAATGAACTCACTGGGAAGGCACCCCCTGTTGCCATGGAGACGAGCCGAGAGCTCACGAAAACTGCAGGCTCAGCCCGGCATGGGCACCGCCTCCACCACCCCTCGCCCCTCTGGGGAGCCCAGAAATAGGGCTGGGAAAGAGAAAGTGGGTGGTGCTCGCCCCCGGTCTTGGGAAGCTTCCATCTGAATTCTGCCTCTTGCGTCTATGTTCTCTAACCCCCACAAAGTGTGGTTTTGGGGGGCTGCAGCACATCAAAGGTGTCAGAGGTGGTGAGGATCTCAGACTACCTGACTCAAAACCCTCACAGTATGATGGGGAAACTGAGACCCAAAGCTGCACGTGGAGTCCATCTTTGAGAATCCAGACCTCCTAAGTCCCAGCCTTTTCTTCTAAACCTTAAGGTCTCCTTTGTCCCTTCCTTGAGCTGCTGTGCTCCTGCCCCAGCCCTTGCCGTGTTCCCACTGTCTCCAGGCGATCCTGAGCCTGAGCAGTCCCAGCCTAAATTTCTGATCTCCTGGCCTCCTGCTGCAGCTCATTCCAGCCACACCCTCCCAAGGACACCCTTACATCTACTCACCATCTGTCCTATGGCAACTGTCTCATTTCCTTCCCCTCTCTTCCCAGGGGACTGTCTTATCACTTACAGGGCCTTTCTCCCAAAGCACCAGCCTGTCCTCTCATTCCTCACAGATTGTCCAGCTAGGAGGGCCCTCATCGTATAAATGAGAAAACTGAGGCACAAAAAGGGAAAGTGACTTGGCCAAAGTCGCACAGCAAACGGCAGGCTGAGATGCCTCTCTCCTTGCGGCCCCTTCCACTGCACGTAGACGGCTGCTTTCAGTCGTGCAGATCTTGGCTGAGGTTGAAGGCAAAACAGCTGACGGATACACTGCTAGGGGCCTCTCTCCTAGCTGCACACCAACCTCTGCGCAGCCTCCTACAGGGCTCTCTGTCTCTCAGGGGTCCCCTGGGACCTCCCACATCCCAGAACGGTGAGGGCAAGCTAGGTCGAACCAGGACTGAGGTCTGGGATGAACTGCGTTAGCTGTCTCGAAAGCGGAGCTAGATGTTTGGAGCGGGCATGAAGGCAGCTGAGCAGAGGGCCAGGAAGAAGAGTGTCAGACAGCAGTGGTGGGCTGAGTCCTCATCCAGCAGAACCCGAGAGAAGAGAAAATGTGGAGGCCGAGGCAGAGGTCTCTGAAGCAGCGGAGAGGAAACAGTGTCCGGAAGGCAGAGGTGGGTGGAAGAGACAGACCTGTGGAGGCGAGAATCCAGCAAGAGGCAGAGAGTTGCCAGAGCTGGGGCCACAGTGAGGACGGCCCCACCGGGGTGGCTGAGGAGGCAGACCCTTGGCTGGCTGGTCCCACAGGCCAGGGCAGGCTCTGTATGCTGCAGAAGCCCCTCAGCAAGACGCTGGCATCCCTACAGCTCACCAAGGCCAGGTGAAGCCCCCCAGCCTCGTTAGGGCCTGCCAAGGGAGTTCTCTCTCCGTGACCCTCCTCCCCCTGCAGTGGCAGACTTCAGATCCCTCAGACATGGAGTCGAACCACTCTGTGGTAGGGAAGGGGCGGCTGCAGCTCAGAGAGGGGAGGTGACTTGCCCGATGTCACAAAGCTAGCTGGTGGCAGCATCAGCCCTTGAGACCTGAGTCCCCATACTCCTGACTCAGCCCTGTGCCACTTCCTGCTCTCCATCCAGCCCTCGGAGAGCGGGCTCTGACAGGCAGCGGGAGCCCTGTGGGGTCCATTACTTGAAGCAGAAGGAGGGCTTCCACACCTGAGCCTCGATCCCGGCATTCCGGGTGGAGAAGGAGGGCCTGGGGGCTTGCTTGGCTCGGGGAGACCACGCCCTGGAGGGAGACACGGGCGAGACATCACTGCTGTAAGTAGGGCTCAGGGCAGTGGGCTGGAGGCCATCCTGGCCGGGGGAGGAGCGGGAGGGCCGAGGCAGGGCAGGCGACGATGGGAGGGCCGCCTTGGGCAGGCTGGGCGCCAGGTCCAGGGAGCTCGGCTTGGCAGGCGAGGCGGCTGTGGGCGAGGACTTGGCAGGTTCCTTGATGGGTGAGAGGACAAAGAGTGAGGGCCGCAGCTGGCAGGGTGTCTGCCTGGAGGGCTCTGGGCGCAGGACCCCATTCTCAGGCAGGTAGCCGTGATAGAGGGAGGCAGGTGGGGTTCGAGCGGGGCTTCGGGACGCCACTCGGAAGCCGCCGGGCGCGTGGGTGGGGTACTTCCAGCACGAAGGCAGGGACATGGTGGGTGAAGGGCAGCGGGCCCGTTCCGCGTGGCCCGAAGACTCGATGACGTACTTCTCCATGCGGGACTGGCGGCGGGCGTAGAGCTCGGCCCCCTTCCCAGAGGCCTCGGAGAGGTTCTGGTTGGGTTTGGGCTTGGGCTTGGCCTGGATACGCGGTGACTTGAGGCATGAGGCCCACTCGGGGACAATCTCCTCGGCACCTGCGGGGCTGGCCCTGTCCCGGGGTGCGGGCTCCTGCTGGAAGTTGGAGGCCTCGGCCCCCAGCGCGAAGGGCTCCTCCTCCACGCCCATCTCCCCCTGGTCCCTCTGCCTCCGCTTCTCGTCCGCTGTCTGTACCAGATCCAGCAGGTCCGGATTCGGGGTCACCTTGGGCTTCTCCACGAAGGTGAACATGGATTTCCGGCTGCCCCTGCGGGCCATCGACTCCTCCAAAATGCCCGTCTTGCTGGCAGGAACCGCCTGGCCCTTTAGATGAGAAGGCTTGGGGTCGGAGCTGGGGTACAGGGCAGAGTAAGAGGGGGGAGACCTAACCCGGGAAGTCAGGGGGGCTGTGGACAAGGTCTCGGCATAGGTTGGGGGCGGGGTGAAGTTCCCCAAGGGGCGTCTCTCCAAGGCGGGGCTTCGCTGTGCCACGGGCCTCCTCTCCAGCATGGGGCTATGGGACATGATGTGTCTCTGTGGCCGAGGGCTCCTGTCTGCCACGCTGGGGGGCCGGGGAGCGGGACCCTTCTCTCCAAGATGTCGTCTCTCTACCATGGGGCTTCGTTCCATCTGGCTCGTGCCGCCCGGTGCCTGAATCCCAAAGGGCCTGGCCGTCCTGTTGACCACAGATGGGGGCTTGGCCAGCGTGAGGTGGACCTCGCTGTACAGTTTGGTGGGCGTGGTGGCAGCTGCCCGCCCAGACATCTCTTGTTCTGTGGATGCCACTGGGGCACCAAGCTGGATGTCGATGAGCAGGGAGCTGGACACGAAATCTGGGGCTGGGGACCTGGAGCTGGAGATGGGAGTCACTTCTCTGGAGAAGGTGCTGGTGGTGGTAGGTGGAGCCGATACCTTGTCAATTAGCAGGGTGCTGGATCTCACCTCCGCGGCTGGCTCCTGGGGTTGCCCACCAGCACACGGGGTGCTGGGTTTGAAATCTGGCACCGCACCCTTCGGCGGGAGCTGTGCCTGTGAGGAATTCTGCTGGACGCTGGACAGTGGCAGGCTCTGCGGGGTGACAGTTGCCGGTGGGTTCTGATCGACATCTGTGGCTGGCAGGTTGTGGTTGCTGTTGGAAGCTGGAGTGATGAGCGTGGCGCCGGGTGAGGGAGGGTTTTGGCTGGCATCTGTGGCTGGGCTGTGGACCTCCGCCGGAGGTGGAGTTGGGGGTGTCTGCTGGGCTTCTCGGTTCTGGGACAGGTGGAGCCCATTGGCCGTCAGCAGGGCCGCGTTCTCCTTTAAATAAACCACCAGTGGTACCTCCTCTTCCTCACTGGCCACCTTCTCCAGGTGCCGCAGCAAGTTGGCTTCCTCTGAGGAGCCCTCCATGCTGTGACCAGGGACCCCTGTGTCAGCGCTCTGGCAGGCGGGGTTTCTCGGAGGGCCTGGTTCAGGGAGGGAGGTGGGACTCAGGCTGAGCCCTGGGGCATGGCCTGTGGGGCTGGCGGGGGGCACCCTGAGGGACTCCTGGCCGGGCTTCTGTCCCCTCTGGCCGTGGCTCTCCAAGGTGAACTCGTTCACCCTCTGCCGGCGCCTGTTGAAGAGCTGGACGCCGCGGGAGTTGGAGCTGGGAGGGGTGGTCAGCTGGGCTGCGATCTGCTGGCTCCTCGCCTTGGCCTCTTTTAGATCCTTCTCAGTGAGGCTAGTGCTCCGGCCCAGCGCTGCAGGAGGGACAGAGGCCGAGTCAGCAAATGGGATTGCAGAGCCACAGGGGTACACACACAGACAGACAGATGGTCACCCATGCCCCACTACAGATGGCCTTTTCCTCCGGAATTTGATCTTTACTCACCGTGTCCTAGAATCTCCTCATAAAGATCCCTGACCCAACCATCATGGCCCAACTCAAATAGCCATGTAAAACCTCCCCTGATTACCCTTTTAGTATTAACTGCCCCTCGTTTGGATTCCCGCTGAAGGTTGTTGACATGGCATTTACCAAACTCAGCAAGAACACCTCACCCTAGCAGTCAAGGCCCCACTCCATCTCGGACTCATCTTGTGCCACCTTTCTCTCTCACTGGGCTCTTCCTGGCTGGCTTTCTGTTCCTTGAAAATGCCAAGTGTGTTCCTGCCCCAGGGCCTTTGCACTTGCTGTTCTCTCTGCTTGGAATGATCTTTTCCCAAGTGGCATTCCATGTTGGTTCCTCATCGCTCAGGACTCACGTGAATGTCACCTCTCTGGAGGGGCCTTCCTCTATAATCAGCACCCCCCCAACCCATCTCTTTGTTTTGTTTTCTTCATAGCATTCAACACAATTCAGTATTCTCTTCTTTACACGTTTCCTTGTCTATTATCTGTCTCCCTCACCTAGCACGCAAGCTCTAAGGGGGAACTGAACTTGCTTGACTTGTTCATCCCTCTAACCCTAGCCCCTAGAATAGTGCCTGGCAAAAAGTGGGCACTCAGGAAGCATTACTGAGGGCATGAATGAACCTGCAGGATATTCATATGCCTAAGTGCATATCTTAGGGCCCTTTACACTTTCAAACTCATAGTACAGTCATTTCTTAACACTAACACTTCCTCTTTTTAGAATAGGTAATACATTTACATGGACTGAAATTTTTTTTTTAACTTAAAAACATAAAAAAGTATACAGTAAAAAATGTCTCTCTACCTCTACCACAAATCAGGTAACAACTGTTAATAGTTTCTTCCAAGTCCTTGCAGAATTTCTTACCATTTTCATTTAAACAATCATTGAAAAATTCTCATACTTTAATGTTATAAAAGTAATAAATTGGGCTAATTTCAGCAGTGACTCTACTAGAACATTGCATTACCTCATTTTATCCTCACAAGAACACTAGGACACAAGCATTACTTGCTCCCTATTTTACAGAAGTGGAAAATGAGGTCTAGAGTCTTGTAAGTAACTCACCCAAGATCACACAGCAAAGGGTGGCAAGGCTGGAGTCAGATCAGAACCACTTCTCTCTGGGTCCACAGTGCATGCTCAAGCTGCCTGCTTGTCCCAAAGGTCCCTTTGGGACATATAGGGGACAGAGTCGGTGGGAGTCGGGGTTCAGTCTGGGGCTGCAGGCTAGGACCGGAGTCTGGGGCCTGAGGTCAGGGATCAGGCTGGGGGTCAGGCCCTATTAATCTGTAAGTTGACTACAGGCAACCATTTCTTTCTATATCACCAGTGCCCGGCTGGCACAGAGTCAGTGTTTAATTTGTGCTTATTGAATAAGGAATGAAGGAATGGACGCATGAACAAATGAACTTACGGACAGATGGATGGGACAGCCTGTGGCCGGGCTAGCAGCTCAGTCGGTGGCTGGGAAAATTCCTCCCTTTGTCACCCCACCCCCATCGAGGGAAGCTAATTAGTTCTAGAGGAATCTGACCCTGCCCTTCCTCCTATCTTGCCCTCATTAGCACTGGCCATGACATGCTGAGTGGGTCTCCAGGGACAGTTTTTCTAGGAATCTTGCCAGCGAGGCTCAGAATTCATGGACTCTTAGAGCTGGGAGGGCCCCTATAGAGGAGCTGTTTCACTACCACCCCCATTTTATAGATGAAGAAACCAAGGTTCGGAGAGCGGTGCAGGGTAGAGCTCACACTAGGGTCAGCGGGGAGGCCCACACAGGACAGAGTGGCTGCCGACAGCTGCTTCACTGGGACCAGGCCCAGCAGCCACAGGCTGTCTGGCCCCAAGCTCCTTCTTCCCTCCTCCCATCACGACCTGGCTCCCCACCACACACACCTGTGGCCACAGGTCCAGAACAGTGACAGCACACAGCCTGCCCCATGCGCCCCTGACACCTGCTTCCTCCTGGTAGGGCTCCTCTCCTGCCTGGATCACCCCATGATGAAGGCTTTGGGGGTTGGGCCAGGCTGCTCCCCTGTGGGGAACTTAAGTAGGGGACAAGCCAGCAACACAGGAGGAGTTGCTCAGCTCATGTGATGTCCATCTCCTCTGGTCTGCTTAGAAACCAAGCCTCCCGGCCCAAATCCAGGCTCTGCTATTTGCTAGCTGTGTGACCTTGGCAAGTTACTACGTCTCTCGGAGCCAGTTTCCTTAGCTGAGAAGAAGGTAATAAAAGCACTGACAGGGGCTTCCCTGGTGGCGCAGTGGTTGACAGTCCGCCTGCCGATGCAGGGGACACGGGTTCGTGTCCCAGTCCGGGAAGATCCCACGTGCCGCAGAGCGACTGGGCCCGTGAGCCATGGCCGCTGGGCCTGCGTGTCCGGAGGCTGTGCTCCGCAACGGGAGAGGCCACAACAGTGAGAGGCCCGCGTACCGCAAAATAATAATAATAATAAAAATAAAAGCACTGACATTAGGGTTAGGAGGCTACACTGAGATCGCGGATGCCAGGGGGATTACTGTCATTCAGCCCAAGTAGAGAGGACCGAGGGCTCATGCTACTCTGGGATGGAGTTGACGGTGACCCCACGTGACACCCTGGAAGGGGTCAGCGCTTCTTCTAGCAAAGGAGATTCACCCTACAGATCATGGTCCTGAGAGGGGTGACTGTCTTAAGGTCACAGAGCAGGGGATTCTAGAGTTATTGGGAGGCAGGGATCATTGCCCCAAATCACAGAACCTCAGAATCTCAGAGATGGCTGTCACCAGGTCCAATCCCCCACACAATTCCTGCGTCCCTAAAGCCATGTCCCTGCATGTACAAGCCTCTGTTTATACCCTCAATTGACAGGGAGCTCACTACCCTGAAGATGTACCTTCTGCTAATTAACATTCTTTCTTTAGCTATAAAGTCACTCCTCATATTAACTCCCACCTCTTGACATGACTGCCCCTCACCGCCACACAGATAAAGAGCTTTCTCTTTGCAACCTGACAGCCCTGCAGAGACTCAGGCACAAATCACATCCCCACGGGGCACGGTCAGGATAAACATCCCTGGTCCCACCAGTGGCTCTTATGACACAACTGCAGCCATCGTAGCTCACATAGATCGGGCTCTTACTGTGTACCCGGCTAGCGGGTTCCCACGGTGCCAGGCTCCTAGAAAGGGCTTCAGTGTTTGTGTAATTCAGACCTCCCAAATCCCTGAACTTTTCTCTTTTTTCTCTTCACCTCTCTGCCTCAGTTCTATCCCAAGGTTGGTTCTAAGGGCCATGGGGCTAGAAAATGCTCCAGTGTCAGAGAGTGAAGGGCCCTCAGGGATAAGCTGGCCTGGGAGGCTTTAGAGAGGGAAGGGGTTGCAGAGGAGGCCATGGGCCAAGACCTGGTCTGCTGACCCCCAGCCAGGCTGGGAACGTTCCCCACGCTGTTGTTCTGGGACAAGAGGAACCCAGCAGAAAACGCCAGGGGGTGAGAGAGCCCTGCCTCCGAGGGAGTTCCCGTGCCCCCCATCCCAGCCTGCAATGACTCCACGGAAAAGGAATTTGGCAGGAGGCTTGGACCAGACCCAGCCAGCAATCCAGATGACTTTTGCCACCCTGCACAAACAAAGCTGGGAGAAGGGGGGCTGGGCCAACTACGGGCATCCCAGAGTCCCCCACTGCAGGGTACTGGGGGTGGCAGCTCCATTCAAAGTTCCCCAGACTAGGGAACTGCCACCTCTAGTGATGCCCCAGCCAGGTGGGTCCAAGATTGTGGTCCCTGGTGTCAGAGAGGCAAGAGGTGGCCAAGGGCCACAGGGGAGAGGCCCCTTGCTGAGCCCTCAATCTGCTTGTCTGCAGCCTACACCTGTACAAGTCCTAACACCCACTCTCCCCTCAGCCTCTTCAGGGCTGGTCCTTGAAAGCCCCACCCTGGACAATGGGTGAGGAGCTCTGAAGACCGGCCTTCCAGAGACGGAGGGGTGAGGGCAGACTCAAGGAGGAGCTGCCCAGCGTCAGGAGACCTGGGTCCAACAGGGTTAAATCCCTAAGTGGGGAAGGCGGACAGGAAGCCCTGAGTACAGCCCTTCGAATGAAGATCGCAGTGGGTGCTATAATTAGCGAGCCCTCACTACTGCCCCGTATAAAGTGCTGTGCCACGCACTGTAGCCCCATCGTCTTGTTCGATCCTCCCGATGACCCTAAGAGATAGGTACTAGCGCTCTTCCCAGTTTGCAGATGAAACCAGAGCTCAGAAAAACCTGCCCAGGGTCATATGACTTTTAAGTAGCAGAGCTGGGATTCAAAACTCAAAATCTGGCTTTGCTGAATCTCATTTCTTAACCGCCCTGCCTTCCGGATCCTGACTCCAGTGGGAGGGGCACCCACAGAGACTCTGGTGCTCCTGGATGCTGGTCTGAAGAGCCCTCTGTTTCCACATCTCGTGATCAGTGCCCGCGGCAGTGCCCTCGCCTCTTCATATTCAGCTGTCCAGAGCAACTCTTGCTTTGTCGTCCTTCTTCCTCTCGGGAGAAGAGCTGATAAACGCATTGTGCCTAAGGTAGAGATGACTGCTAGGACATAAAAAACTAGTGGAGTAGAAAGAGCACGGTGTGGGGAGTCAGGAGACCTGAGTTCAAGTGGTGCTCAGGCAGGGTATATAAGCCCTTTCTCCCACCCCATTACTTCTGTAGACAGCTGCCTGTTCTGCCGGCCATCAGGCCTTTTGGACAGAGGATCCAGAGGAGGGAGGCAGGGCAGGGGAACGGAGGCCAGAGCAGAAGGTCAGGACAGGGAGAGAATTCAAGGAAATTCTTCTTCACACGGCTGCCGTCAATGGGAGTGCCCAGGGCCCGGGCAGGGTGGAGTGGGACAGGGAGCCAGAGGTAGGAAGAGAGACTGGCTGGAGACGGCCCATTGTGGCTGCCTGGGAGTCTTGGCAACGGGACAGGTAAACAGGCTGGGATAACTGCCCCCCTGGTGGGGTCAGGAAGGAACCAATGGCTGGCTGCTGCACAACCTCGGCCTCAGCCGGGGGCAGGAAGATGAACTGGACCTGAGTAATGGCCTGACTACCTTGCCAGCCCCTGCCCCGCATCCTCCCTGCTGAAAGGAGGAAATGACACAGCCTCCTTTCCCTGGGGAGTTCTCCATCCACGCCAAAGTCCTGGTGAGTGCAACCTGCCTGAGTCCCAGCAGACTGCCAGGCCTCCTTGCAGAGAATAATTCATACCAAGGTGGGAAGGACTGCCAGTCACGGGAGATGCACAGGAATGGAAGTGAAGAGCCCCAGACCTAGCTCCAGCCTGGCCACCCACCGGCCGGCAGAAGTCACGGCACGCCTCTCCCTTAATGCCCAGCGGGAACTGAGACCACAGGAGGATGCTGTACGCCCTAAGTCACACACCCCAAACCACCAAGGCACCTCTGGGTGCTCGCTTTACTCACTCCGGCTGGGTCCTCCCTGCAGCCCAGCTTCCCTCCGAATGCTGAGCCGGCCTTGCTTCTCAAAGCCTCCGCGAAAGGCAGCCAATCGACTAGCTGACACAGAGGAAAATCCCACGTTGACGGCAACGCGGAGGAGCTGGATGTGACTTCTCTCCTCCACAGATGACTCAGCCTAGCTCTTTATCAGGAAAACCGATTTCGCAACAGCCTTTTAAATGGTCCCTCCGCCCCCAGTCTCTCCCCCGACAATCTACCCACCCCACGCTGCCAGATCCGTCTTCCTCCTGCCTGGCTCCACTCTGTGTCGGGGCCTCTCTCCTCCTCTCCAGGACATGGGGGCTCAAGCAGCCAGTCCTCATCCTGGCATTCATGGTCCCTGATGTCAGGGTCTGCCCGAGAGCTCGCTCACCTGCTCCCTGCGCCCTCAGCAACCGTCAGAGGGAGTCCAGCGGCTCGTGGTGCCACGCCTGCCCTGCGAGTTCCAACCTCCGCTGTGGGTTTGCGCCCATCTCTCCACCCGGAACCCGTCTCTGTCTCCTATCCTTTCTACACGCTCAATCCCCAGATCATCAGTGTTTTATCTGCACCGCTTAATAACCTCATCACTTGGCATATTATTTGTTTTAGTCAGAGTTTTCACCGGGGCGTGCTCACCACATGCCCCATGCCAGGCCCTGGCTTCATTAACAGCAGCCAGGAGGTCAGCAGTCCCCTCATCTCCATGTTAGAGGAGAAACGGGCTCAGAGAGGTGAAGTGACTTAAGTGGTACAGCTAGCCAGAGGCAGAGTTGGGATTCGAACCCAGGGTGGCCCCGCACCCAGCCCAGGACCCATCACATGGGCCCTGCTGCCTCCTCCCAACATCTTGCTTTGCAGCAGTCAGGGTCTGGGTCTTATCTTCCCCCAGAGAGTGCAAGAGCCGGGGGACAGGGCCCTCAACTGCTTCGCCTTGTCCCCTACACCTTCCCCGGGGGCTTGCAGAAAGGATGGAGTCAATGAAGATGACAACAGCCAACACATGAGGAGCTCCAGATGCTGCCAAGCTAAGGGTTTAGCATATATTTTCTCACTGAATCCTCACAGCAACTCATAAAAGAGGCCCCCTTACCTCTGTTTTATTGATGAGGAAAACGAGACCCAGAGAATTAGCCAACTCACCCCAGGTCTTACAGCCAGCAAGGGACAGGCAGAGCAGAGCTGGAGCCGGGAGTCTGACTGATCCCAAGCCTGGGCCCCTCCTTCTGAAGAGCTCAGCCCACAAAGCACACTCACTTTCCCACCTACTGTCCCAGGCCCAGCCCAACTGCCACTTCCTCCAGGAAGCTTTCATCAATCCATCCAGACTCCTCGATCAGTGCCCCTCCCCTACTCGACCGGGCCCAGGGGTCTCGCAGCAGGAGCAGGGCTTGAAGGAAACAACGGGTTGAGGAAGCTCAGGAGCCAAGGCCCAAGGGGAAGGAGGCTGGGACTGGCCCAACTCCTGGTATCTCCCTGACAGGGGTTCGGGATCATGCAGGGCAGGGTGGGTGGGCTAAGTCAGGTCGGCATGGGTGTTGGCTAGCAGGTATCCCTGTAGGCCACAGGCACTGCTCACTGCTGGCTGATGAGGGCCCTGCTATGCGGTCCTCCTCTCCCAAAGGCCGGGAGCCACCACCTTCCTCCTGCCTGCTCTACTGGCCTAAACACTAATCTACAGTTAGATTTTCAGGGACTTGGAAATGGTGACCCAGAGAGAGGCAGGTTCAGTTCCAGGTGCACAACAAACTGGAAAGGGCTGGTTCACCGGGAGCCGAGTTCAGACCCAGGCTCCCACCTCCCCCAGTCCAGCCCTGGTAAGCCAGGCTTCCCCCGCGACCCCCAAGCCCTCTCCTGCTGCATCAGCCTCCATCATCCTAGCCCTGGGAGCCTTGAGAGTACAGAAAGGACTACCACACCCTACCCTTCCAGAGAAAACAGTGAATCCAGGAGACGTAAAGGTGGTGAGCCAGAGCGGGAGAGAGAGCATTTCCCCTAAACTATGCCTCTGCCAGGAGCAGGGCTGAGCCTAGTCTATCTCAGGGTCCCCAGCACCCAGCCCAAGGCCCTCGACAAAGATACAGCCCTTCCTCTTGGCCCTGGGGCAGCCTGGGGCTGGAGTTGGTCCCATTCTCTCTAAATTCCCCAGACTCAGCAGAGGCCGTCACCCAGGAGGGGTTCACTAAGTGTTGACTAAACAAATGACTGAAGGATGAGCACTCCCACAGTCCAAATCTACCTTCACATTTCACTCCACCATTCACCCCAGGAGACAAATTCTCGATGTGTCTAGATCCCAGAGTTATGGAGATTCTAGATCAGAGATCTAGAGGGTGGTTCCTCGAGGAAGGGGAGAGAGGAAGGAGGGAGGTAGCAACAAGACTTTGGGTGAAGAGGGAGATGAAACCTCAAATGGCAGTGTTAGATCCAAGAGGCAGAATATTCCATCGAGTGCCAGGAGAATACAGAGCTTAAGAGATAGATGAACGAGGATGAAGAAATCTGGGAAGTCTTCCTGGAGGAGGCGGCATATGCCCTAGGTCTTGAAAGATGGAGATGTGGAAGTATTTCAAGCAATGGGACAGGCCAGTGGAGGCTGGAAGGCTCAAGGTGGTCCCCACCCCATCCTCTACACCCCTCCACTCACACCTCCAGTCAAGACAGCTGGAGAGGAAGGCACCTCTGACAGAGGAACACTTCCACCACTGGGCTTGCCCAGAGGCTAAGGGTGACTGGGGTGGTCCAGGTAGAGTTCCAAGGGAGCTATGTACATGGGAATGCACATGCCTAGAGCTCAGAAGCACCGTGGTATCTGCCCTGGGCCTCCGGGTGGGTTACATAACCGCCCCACCGGGGCCACAGATTCAGCCAGGACCCTCCTCCGCCTCCACCTCCCCAGCCATCTGTCTCTGCTGCTTCCCTCTCATAGAAGAGGCCGCTGCACTGCCCAAAGCAAGGCCAGCGCCCTGTGGTAAATTCCCCACATTCCTTCCTCACAGAAAAATAAATAACGGGGAGAAAAAAATGCTGGAGGAATGATAATGACGGCCCCAGCACGCTGCAGTCCCAGCTCGCCTCCCCACCCTGTAGAGCAGAGCCCCATCCTGGGCTGGGGCAGGGATGGGGACGCTGCTGCTTCTCCCTGAGGCATCCTCACTGCCAGGCCCCGGGATAGACGAGCTGCCTGCAGCCCCTCACCGCTCCCCCAGGCCTCTCAACCCTCTTTTGTTCTCAGGATCACTCATATCTGCTGAAGAAGGTGCTGGGAAAGGTGCTGAGAATCTTTCGGTTGTGGCAGGTGACCTCCGAGGGCAAACTCGCCAGAGGCTGGGCGCCCTTCACTTTTACTACTCAGGTTGTTGTTTACTGAGCGCCTCTTATGTTCCAGGCATTACTACATTATGTTTTGATTTATCTTTGCAAGCTGTGAACTGGAAGTACTGTCATACCCATTTTACAGATGAGGAAACTGAGGCTCAGAAAGGTTTTATGATTCGCGAAAGTAGTTTGGCCAGTGAGTGGTCTACCCTCTCCACTCCTGCCTCTTACTCCCATATCTATTCAGCCTGTCTGTCCTCCCCCAGACAGCCCTCCTTTACCAAATCCAACCAGAGGTGCAGCCTGTTCCCTTCCCACGTCCTGCTCAACAAAGCATCCTGTGCGGGCTACCTTTAGTAAGTCACCTCACCTCTGAGTCTCAACTTCCTCATCAGTAAACCAGGGATGATTATAGCTGCTTTGCAGAGTCACTGCTGAGCAAATGAGATGCACAAATTATTTCTATAGCATAAAGCATTGTGCACACCTGAGGGGGATTTAACTTCAGCCTTTTGCACAAACCTACCTTTGTATAACTGTACCAGGCTAGGGCGCTGTCTGTCTCCCTACCTTCTCCAGCCCTCCCTGGAGCTGGTCTCCCTCTTCTGCTCATAGTCAGGCACAGCCCAACCTTCCCCTCCCCCTCCAGCATCCTCTCAGCAAGGGAACCCCAGTGTCAACCTCTAGCTAACTGTGCTGTAGCAGGAGAGAACCAGGTTTGATACCAGGTCTGCCTCTTACTGGATGTGAGCACCCAGGCCCCCTTGGATGGCCCCAGACCCAGACTCCTGGGAGGGAAGGTATGGCCAAGGCTCCCACCACTCAGTACGCAGTCCTGCAGCCAGGAGGGTGCTGTGGTCCTGAGCGGGCAGGAAGCTACCGACCCTGCCATCCCCTCATGCCATTCGCCGGTTACCAGGCATGTGTGGCTCCCCTCCAGCTGGAGGAGTCTCCAGCCAGAGGGAGGCTGAACCGTCCCCTTGTCCCTCCAACTGCAAAAGGAAAGCAGGCTGGAGGTCAGGGGATTTGGTTCCAGTCTGTTCTGTCACAATATGGGTGAGGTGCTGGACTAGTTCCTGACCCTCTTCGGGTTTCAGTTTGTCCATGTGTTTGTTTCAGAGAAGGGATTGGCCTGGACCAGTGATTCCTAGAGTGTGGTACCCCCACACCTCTAGTGGGAGCAAAAGGATTTAAGTGGTACCCTGATACTTAATAACATCTTACTAGTTATGTAAATTTCACGTGTATTAGAAAAGGAGGATAATAAATCCATCAAAGGTACAGTACTGCTTAGGGAGAGGTAAAAGTGGATATTTCAGCAACAAAAGTTAGACAGTTTAAAGAAAACAAGTATAGGTGGTGTATGAACTCATTCACTCAACTGATATTTATTGCACACCAACCAAGGGCCAGGCACTGTTCACAGCCATGAAGAGAAACAGATAAAGCCCTGCTTGCATTCTAGCACGGGAGCCAAAAAATAAGACTATTTCTATAATCTTATTATCTTATTATATTATATATCTATAATCTTATTCTATTCTATAATAAATTCTGTAGAGAAAAATAAAGCAGGGGTGGGAGATATACAGACTGCACAGGGTGGGGAGTGGTGTGCAAAGGTGAATAAGGTAATCAAAGGAGGCATCACTGAGAAGTCCCATCGGAGTGAAGAAGGTGAGGGAGTGAGGCTTGTGCATTTCTAGGGGAGGAAAGACCAGGCAGAGGGAACAGCTAGTGCTAAGGTCCCTAGGCAGGCTCGCACCTGGCAGGTTGAGGATGGTGCACGTGATGTGGAGGTGGGACATGAATAAGGAAACCAGCTTCTCTAGTGGTCTTTCTAGTGGCCTGCAGGGTCTCAGGGATCCCCCTGCATTGCAACCATTTGTGCCTGTGCGCACACGCACACACACACCCCCTGCAACACGCACATTCTGGACAGCTCCCTCATGCTGGTGAGAGCCTAGCCAGCAATAGTATATCTTCCTCTGCACACACACCCACACACAAAGGTGCTCTTTGCGTGTGCACCCGTAGAGGGGGAAGAACCTACACACCCGTGTGTGCACGCATAGCGCCCGTCGGTATGCATGTGGAGACACACAGGTACTCAGGTGGCACACTGACGCAGATGCACGTGCAGCGGGTACACACCTTATGAGCGGACATATGTGTCTCCCTCCTGCCAGCCTGCCCTGTCTCTGAGTTACCAGACCACCCTTGCCTAGAGGGCAAGTGCCCCGATGGCGTGGTTTCAAATTCACTTCTCCGTATCTCTGCACCTCAGTCATGGTTTCCCATTTCCAGGGCTACATTAAAATCAGCCACCTGCTGCTCAAATGTCCCAAGGGAGCACGTTGCTGTGGAGCATGTCCCCTTTTCTACCCCTACTGCAGTTAAATAGAAAAGCCATGAAAATGCCTAGCACAGCACTGTAAACAGGATCAGCCGCTTCTGGCATCATCGCTCATCACAGTCATCCGCATCCCTGGCTTCATGCCTTTAGGGACCTCAGGGGGCAGCTGATGAGAAGAAGGAAAAGGCCAGACTGCGAGCTTCAGGCCTGGGTTTTAGCTGCAACCTGGTCTCCAACGCATTGCGAGGCCTCAGGCGAGTCCTGTCCCCTCTCTGGCCCAGATCGGAAACCTGTGGGTGCGGCAGAATTTCTCAGGGAGTGTGTCCAACATGCCGATTCCTGGGCTCCGCCCCAGACCCAGGACCACAGAATATGCACGTTAACAGTCTCCCTGAGGGGTTCTGAAGCACAGCTAGGTTGGGGACCCAGGGGGCTTTAGAGCTCATGATTTTATAAATGTGTTTATAATTAAATGAACATAGAGGGCAATGCTTGGAACATAGGCTGGCAGATAGACCCACGTCAACAAAAAATAAGTTTGAGAAAATATGTTTACATAAGTAATTCTATGTAGTGATACACCATCCTTGAACATGCACACACGTTTATAGTTTTCCTAGCAGCTTCACATCCGTCAGAGAAAGAAGTAGAGCAGGGATTGTGATGCTATTTTAAAGACTAGAAAACTGAGGCAGAGAAAGGTCAGGGGGCCTGGCCAGAATCTCACAGAACACAGGTCTTTGGCTCCCAGCCAGAGTCCTTGGGCCAGCTTCGTTAGATGCGCCACCTCGGGGCCTTGTCACAGCCCAGCCCACAGTGTGCACTGTGTACACAGCAAACACAGTCCTTCCACTCCAGGTGCACTGACTTTTCCAGTCACTTGGGGTTCGCTGACAATGGGACAACCTCAGCCGGTTAACTTCCTTCCAGCTGAAATACCCTTCTCACTGGGTAGGGCAGGGGGTTCCCAAAGCCCTTATGCTCCATGCTACCGTTTGATGTGGAATGGTGTTTCTGTTCCAGCCAACCTGAGTCCAGATCCCACCTGAGCAGATCACTACCTTGTCTATGCTAAGCCTCAGTTTCCTCCTCTGCGAAGGGGTCTCCTAATTCCTATCCTTCGGGGTGATTGTGAGGATAAGGTCTTTTGTGCAAAGTACCCAGCATCTCGCCTGGTACACACGCTTCTGCAATGCTGGAGCGCCACTAACTTGCAGGCTAAAGTGTGAGCTCCTGGAAGGCAGGAACCCACAAAGCGGTCATCAGGGCACCCACACCTACCACGTGTCGTAGGCTCGATTAATATGCACCCGAATGGGTGAGAAATGAGATATCGTCTCGAACTTCTTCCTGATCCCAGCTCATCATTGTCTTTCATGACCCATTTCCCAGCGTGGGGGCTGGACGCACAGAGCAGAGATGCTCGGGGCCAGAGGGATGGGTCACGGGTCCTGGGAAGACACTGATGAAGGCCGCTGGGGAGGGCCGTGTTCTGGGAGACCTGAGTGCAATCCTGTTGACTCAGAGGCATAAATAATGCACTAGCACATTCTCTGCTCGCCATCCTGTCATGCTAAGAATAGCACCAGCTACCCTTTCAGGGATTTCTCAGGGAAGAGAGAGGAGGACACCAAGATGGGGACAAGCAGGAAAAGGCATCGCTAGACTGTGGCCCATCAGGCGCCCTTTCTTCAGGCCCACCTTTCCAAACCCATCAAACTGATGACCCTGGAGGTCTGAGCTGAAAGGGCTCCTGGGGGCACCTGGTCAGGAGAGGCCTGAGGAGACGGGGCACCACCCACCCTCGCCCACTGGGGCTGTTTCTTTTCCTCCTCCCTTCTGATGCCCATCCCAATAAAGCCCGTGCCCCTAGCCCATACCCCGCGATCCCCACCCCCAGTCATGTGATGAACAGAGTGGGCGGTTCCCCTCTTAATGTGTTTTCATCTGTAAGACTTTGGAGAGAGAAGAAGATTCTATAGCTTTTGATTTAAAAAAATTTTTTAAGTTGAAACATGACTGACTTAGCGCTTCTCATACTTTAATGTACATAGTAGTTACTCAGGGTTGTTGTTAAATTGCAGATTCTGATTCAGGAGGTCTGGGGTGCAGCCTCAGAGTCTGCATTTCTAAGGAGCTTCTGGGTGACGCTGACATTGCATACATGATTGCCATACCATGAGTACAGAAAAACTAGAGTATTTCCCTATAAACTAGATGGAGAAACCAAGGCCCAGAAAGGAAAAGGGATGTGCCCGAAAACATACAGCAGAGCTAGGCTCAGAACACAGGCCTCCTGAATCCTCCTGGGGCTTGGTCCTAGAGGGGCTCTGGGGTTGAATGGAGGTGGCTGGAGTGGGACAGGGGACAGACAGCAGTTTCAGGCAGCAGGAGTCGGTCCGGGGGGCGGGCCTTCATTCAGCCAAAAGCTGAACCTCCTGGGGTCCACAGGCTCCCACAAGCCATAAGAGGAAATAAGAATCCACCGGAACAGAGGCGCTCAGCTGAAGTGACTGCAGCCCCTTGCTCAAAATCATGCCCTCATCAGTTTGCATTTGAGGCCCGAGGGGCTGGTACCCTCCTGGAAGGCAGGATGAAACAGGGGGCTATTAAAATGCAAACAAGATCCAGACAGAGGAAGATGAGGTCTGAGCACTCTGCATTTAGTCATACTGAGAAGTGGCTGGGGGAGTGCGCGGGGGGGCCCACTGCACTATCAGGATGGGCATCGGAAGGAAAGCAGAAAAGAAAGGAGGCAAGATCAGCCTCTAAGACCAACACTAGGAACAGCTCCTCCTTCCTAGGCTTGGCCTCAAACCCCTTTGCAGGCTCCAGGCCCTGCATGACTAGCCCCACTGCCCCTCCATGCCAGGCTGCAGCTCCCCTCGTGGTGTTTGCCCTCCCTACACGCCAGCCACGCTGGCCTTCCTTCAAGTGCTCAGACAGGAACCAAGCACTTAGCACCTCAGGGCCTTTGCACTGGCTGCTGCTTTTGCCTAGAACCCTTTCCTCCCATACCCCTCAGTTGCCCCTTTCTGGCCATACTTCTCCTTCAGATACGTTTACAGGTCTCAGGGAGGGTGCGCCTATCCTGGGAGGTCACATTCCTCTGCCACAGCACCCTCTATCTCTCCTCCAAACTCTCATGAGATTTGTAATTCCATCGTCATTTGTTTTAGTGTCAGTCTGCCCTGCCCCATGGTAAGGAGGTCCCGCCGGGCAGGGACCTTGGCTATCATTTCTCTGCTATGTTCCTGCCCCCGTGCCTAGGCCACAGCTGGGCTCAATAAACATTTCCTGACCGAATGAGGGAATAAATGAATAAAACCAGTGCTGACATCTACCTGCATGTTTCCCAGTGACCTCGCTCACCCTGGAGAAGTTGTAAAGGACCAGGACTTGCAAGATTATGTGGGTCTAACCCTCTGCTCTGCGACGCTCCAGCTGAGTGGCCTTCACAGGTCATATCACCTCTCTGAATGGGGAGCGCTGTTTGTCGGGTCTAAATGAGAGGTAGAATCTGGGAAAGGCTCTGAAAGCTAGAAAGAGCTTTAACTGGTAGCTCTACTCATCCATGTTTGAGGCCCAGAGAGGGAAAGGGCCTCATTCAAGGCCACACAGCCAGTGTGTGGTGACGCCAGACCCCCTGTGGCACAGCTTAAAGCCAACAGGCCCACCCAGACTCAGTGAGGGCACCATCTGGCTGGAGGCGGGGCAGGGGTGGAGGAGGAGAGGAGAGGAGGTGGCTGGGAGCATCCAGCCTCAGGCCCAGAGCCAGGGTTGGGGTGGGCAGGGCCCCCAGCAGGAGCCCTGAGTGGGGCCTGGCAGCTGGGCATAGGGGAGCCAACTGGCTCAAGCTGGGTGGTGGCAGGCCTGTTCCGCATGCGCGTGACGGTCTATTTTTTAATCAGCGCCCTCCCCATCCCCCAACTTCATGTGCCCTCCTAAAGGGTACATATTAGGAACCACGTCCTGGCTGAGACCAGGGGCCAGCTTGGAGATTGGTGAGAGGGTCCCCAAGTCCCATATCGTCACGAAACCCACAGCCCAGAAGGCAGCCCAGAAGGCAGTAAAGGAGACTCAGGGAGCCTGTGTGGGCTTGGGCCTGTCCCTGGACTCTCTGACCTCAGTTTACCCCGTCCGTACAGTGAAGAGAGTCACGCCAGACTCCATGACAGTTTATTACAGCTCAGGCTCTTGGGATCCACTCAAGCTTCACGACACTAATGACGCTCACTTGTCAGGCCCTGGCAGAGCCTCCTTTGCCCACAGCATTCCCAGGGCACACATGATCCTCCCTGACCTACTCCCAGGGGATGAGGGGAGAAGATAAGAGGCTGAGCTGGCTCAAGGGTCAACCTCAGAACCCCAGGCCCCAGACCCAGTGAGGCTCCCCCTTCCAGCACCTGAGGGGCAGAGATGATGGGGATCAAAGGGCAAAGAGGTGTGTTATTAAGCACGTGGCTTGGCCCCTCTGAGCCTCTGGCACTCCACCTAAGGCAGGAAAGAGCATGTTGTGCAGGAGTTAAGCACATGGGCTTTGAGGCCAGACTGCCTAGGTTTGAACCTGGCCAGTTACCACTGTGTGACCTTGGGAAGCTCACTTAACCTCTCTGTGCCTCAGTTTCCCATCTGTAAAATGTTGATGATAACAGGACTTACTTCATAGAGTTGGTGACATGTAAAGTACTTAAAACACCCTGGCACATAGTAAGTTACCATAAATGTTAACTATTTTTCAAGAACTTTGGCTTTTACCTATCGAACACTCTTTGTCTCCAAAAGATTTTATTCCAGAGGACGACATGCAAGAGTCTCATGTCAGCCCACTCTCCTGCCCCTTCCTGACCCACCCTGCTGACCACCCTTCCCGCCAGCCCAGTGGCTTTCGCGTCTGTCGAGCTCTTTCACACTCACGATCCCCTTATATCCTTCTTAGTCCATTTCATAGTAGCTCAGACCCAAAGCCTGAGCCCCAGAGGAAGCAAATGATTTGTCCAAGACCACCAGCTTGTTGGCTAAGGCTGGAGGTTCAAGTATCCATTCCTGAAGCTCGATCCAGGCCCTTTTCCACCATACTGTGCCCATCCTCCCACTATCAAACCTGTTCCTGGCTAAACGTCAAAAAGTAACATATACTGAGATATGAGTCTTCAGCGAGTGTCCCTCTTCTCCAGGGCTTGCTATTTTAACAGAGATCAAAACATTATAATACTATTTAATAGGTAATAGTTATTTTTATCATCTCATTTAATTTTCAGAACAACAGTACAAGGTAGGGTCTGTGATTGTTTCTATTTTATAGATGAGGAAACAAAAGCCTAGAGAGGTTATGTAACACACTCAAGATCTCCCAGCAAGCTGGGGAGAGAATCCAGGGGTCCAACCACAGGATCTGTGTATTAGACACGCAGGAAACAGCTAGCACAGGAGTAGACCGAATTTTGCGTCACCTGCAGCAGCCCTGGGAGGCTGGACAGAGAAGGGTAGGGTAGGGTAGGGTCAACACAGCACTATACTATACTGCCTCACTGAGTGGAAAAGATGAAGCTAGGATGATGGAATTTCAGGCAGCGGCCAGTTGGTAAAGATTTCATTTCGGAGAGAGAGGGCTTTTGTGAGCCTCTGGAATTACAGGGCCTGGAGGCTGTCCCCACATTGACTTCTCCTCTGGCCACACTGGGTAGCAATTGAGCCACAGTGTCCAGGGACAGTTCACAAAGGACTCTGAGCACACACACACACACACACACACACACACACACACACACACACAGGCCTGGTAGAGCCCAGCTGCCCCTGTGACCCGATCACAGGCCTGGGTTCCTTTGGGTGGACAGCCTGAAGCCCTGAGGAATGAAGGCATTTTCATAACCTACAGCCAATGCCCACTCCACTCCCTTCCCCCAGCTCTTAGTTTAGACCTTTCACCAGCCTCTGAAACACCCTTTCTCCCAACCAAATCCCTCCCATTCTTCTAGACCCAAGTTCTGGACATGCCAACTCCACAAAGGCAGCCATGACCACACCTTCAAATAACATTCAGGGTGTTGATCCAACGCCACCTCCAGAGAGGCCTTCCCTAACCACCAAGACAAAGAACCCCTCGAAGTGCTCTTCATCTTAGCAATGTGGCTTTTGTTTGTTTTTCAGGCTACTTTTATCTATCTGAAACTATCTTGCTGATTTCTTTGCCTCCCTTTCTCTTGTCTATTTCCCCAATTAAAGAGCAATCTTGAGGGCAGGGACCAGCCTATCTTGTTCACTATTGTAACCCCACTGCCTAAGGATCCACGCACCCCATTGCTAGACAGGGACACTGAGGTCCATAGAGGGCAAGGGATTCACCCAAGGTCATACAGCAAGCAAGTGGCAGAGGTCGGTCTAGCACATGCAACTCTGCACTACGGCCCAGAGCACTTGGCCTGTCCCCATCCCCACCCCACTTGACCCTCTGTTGGCCTATCTTGTCCCTGCCTTCACACTACAGTGGGGCCAGAGCCTGCCAGTCCTTGACAACAGCGTCCCTCCACTGCCCCAGGGGCCTTTGGTGCCCCATTCTGGGCAGCCTAGCCTGCTTCCCCCTCTGTCCCTCCCTTCCTGGCATCAGCATCTCCGATGAGCTCATGTCTGGAGGCCTGGGAGCTGCCCTGAAGGAAAAGGTGCCTCCCAGGCCGGGCCCCTAGGTCTGGAGGTGTGTTCAGCCTTGTGGGATAGCAGCCCTGGCGGGTGGAGAAAGTGTGATGACCCCTGCCCATCCCAGCGCCCAGGGCTGTGCAGTGGGCTCAGGGAGACACGTGTCATCCAGGGAGAT